TTTCTTTGCTGTGCTTATATTCATCTATTGGAAGATCTTCCTAGTCTTAGTGCCAAAACTAGCTACATAGCAGTAAGAAAACCATAATTTCTTTGCTGTGCTTATATTCACTTTGGTGTATTGCAGTTTTTGTTTGTTCAGTTACTTACTGAGCGTCTCCATCTGTTTGTTATTTCTCTGGAATAGACTGTAAGTTGGGGGTCGACCTTATATTCCTTTCGTTCGGCACAAGGTTCAAGAATCCGTTAGATGTTTCTATCCCTCTCATAGATGTTGTGTACCTTAACTTTGACTCTTAACTTTTCTTCTAGTACACATGTGACCCTCAACCTGTATTTTTTGCTAGCTCACATACTGTTCTTTCAAATAATTGTAGAGGATTAGTGTAATTTGAACACTTTAGTTGGGATCCAAGGGCAGACATCTTTGCTTCATGCAGAGTTTAAGACAGAATAAGATGGAGAAAAGTGGAAAAAGATCATAAATTGGTATTTGATCCATGTTATTAGTATATCTTGAGTGAGCCACCTTTTCTTGTAAATTAGATACTACAACAACTGCTAGGCCTTAGTCCCAAACAAGTTGGGGTCAGGTATATGAACTTTCACTGACCATGTTCTCCATTTAAGCTCAATCCATATCATTATCGTACCAAACAAAAATAAATGTGAAAACAAAGTTAAATATATATAAAAGTAATTGTAGTAGTACCAATAGTAATAATAGTAGTAATATTAGAAGTTCTCTATATTTTCACTGGCATATATAAATCTATCATAAGATCAAGATACTCCTAGAAAAGCAGTAGATTCAAATTAGCGTACTAACAAGACTAAAACTTATTCCCAACTAGTAGATATCACATATATGGATCCTTTTTTTCCATATTTCTCTTAAATTAGATGACTTGGTGAAGTTATCTTGTGGGTTTTCACTTCTCTCGCTGGTGGAATGTCAGGAGTGAAAATGTTGTACTTTGCTGTCATTTGAATGATGCGGTGATTGTTATTTTTTCCATTTCCACCTTTAACTACCATTATTCCAAAAGATATCTCATCTTCCTTTTTCATGATGCACATGTTCGGTAGTATCTATTGTACAGCCTTGAAAAACATGAGTTTGGTCTTTTCACCATCACTTATTTCAATTTCAACAAGTCGCGGTATGTTTTCTTTGCGAGCACCCTTCTTGCTTGATTGTCCAAATAGTGAAAGCATTATCATGAACTACTAATCTTAATCAAGCTTTTAATTTCATGATGGTGTTCATGGAATCATCAATATTTGGCATGATTTCTCATAAACACGCACTGTTAAATTTCCCTACAATTCTACAAATGAAATAATTACCGGAAAGGTGTTCTGCAAGTTAAATAGCATGAATGTGGATATATAATATAGGGGCTAAAATTCTCCATGTATCAACTTGTTGCATCTGATCTGAAGTGCTGAAATTCATATGAATTCCTTTTTGATATAACAGATTATTTATTTAAGCATATTTGTCATCCTCTTATGATTTGGAGTAATAAGTGATGATTGTTGGACTATGGATGCAGTATGTTGAAGACCCATGAGTTATCTAGATTTATTAGGTAGTTATTAATGTTTCATAATGGCATTTATTTTTTTGAAACTGGTAACGATAAATAGAGGGATTTCCTCTCATTCTAAAATAACGAAAATTCTAAACTTCTTATTCTTCTTCTTTTTCTTCTTCTTCTACACAATTAAATATTCGTGTACTTTGCTCCTGTTGAGTTGCTCACTAACATCATTGCTTATGTTACAGATCCTGTTATTTTTTTTACAGTCATAATTTTATGCTTATGTTTTTTTTGAAACTAGTAACATTTGTATTTCATTTAGTACTTAGGTAGTACTGAAAAACCATATTTACAAATAAGCAGAAAGGAAGTACAATCTATCCAAAAACTGAACCATTTCTAAATGACCCTAAAACATCTATGATTAACTCAGTTTCATTGGAGTAAACATTTGTACACCAAAAGCAGAACAACAAAATACACTTAAGCTTCACTTCCTGTAGGTTGTTGTTCCTATTCTCAAAACATCTATCGTTTCTCTCCCTCCATATAGTCCACCAAATACAAGCAGGGATCGTCCTCCATCTTTCTCTGTTTGTGGCCCAAATCCAGCCATCTCCCAACTGAATAGAGTCTCATCAATCTTGCTAGGCATACTCCAAGATATACCTGTGAGATTAAGGAAAATCTGCCACAGCTGCTCAGTAAAGTTGCAATGTAAGAAGGGATGTCTCACTGTCTCATTAGCCTTACCACATAAGGAGCATCTGTTGCAGTTTCATAATTAGTTTGTAAATTATTAATTACTCCCTCCGTTCACTTTTACTTGTCCACTCTGGATTTTGCACACCCCATAAGAAATAATGATTGAAATGAGTGTTTTACCATAATACTCATATAAATTGATAATATTAGGTCTTGGAAAATGATTTGGTGAATAAGTAATTAATGCTAAGGGTAAAACATGGAAAAAATTAATCGTCTTTATCAAAATGACAAGTAAAAGTGAATATCTATGTTTGGAATGGTGGACAAAAGTGAACGAAGGGAGTACATCTTAAATTTTAATCAAATTTTAGCTGTTTAATAGATCACAGTACACTACAAGAATCTGATTACCTGAATCTGAGTACTAATTAGATACTCCCTTAGGTATATCTTTAATGACTATAGGCCATCTTCTGCTCTCCTCAATGTTACCTTATCGTAGGAGTTATTGAAAGGGACAAAATGCTGACCTATCCTATTACATTTTTTTCTCTTCAGTTAAAAGAACATTTTCTTTGTCTTGTTTCTCCTCGTAACGGTCTTATGGCTTTTCTTTCAGGCTGTAATCTTCTTGGACTTGGATAATTCATGTAAAAGTGCCCATTGTACCAGCTTGTTTCTTCATTTTATTTCTCATAAACAGCAATTCTACATAAGTTCCCTTGCCAGTGAAATAATTACCGCAAAAGAAATTTGGCAATTTAAGCAATATGAAAATACAAATATCTTATAACGTAGCTTGCTAAATTTAATGTGTATTAATTACTTGTGACTTGTAAACATGCTGAGAATCATAATAAATTCTTTCTTGGTTATATTTGAGAAGTTCTTCCTTGGCGATCTCCATTAACTCATGAGTGACATAGTGAAAACTCATTAGTTTTGTCCAGATTTATCCGGTAGTAATAACTTCCATAGTCACATTGGTTGTTTGTAAAGCAATAAATACACATGACAACTGTGATAAAAAAAATTAGCTTTTAATAGATTACAGTACATTATAAATCTGATTATGCACAATAATGGAACAGTATCTGATTAAGTGAATCTTACTCCTGATTAATTACTCTTTGGGCACATATTTCACATGGCTATAGTCTATTTTCTGCTCTTTCCAATCGCACCTTTGCTTATTATCTATTGAAAGGATGACAATGTTAAGCTATTTTACACACTGTTTTTTGACTGTATGTCGTCTCTCCTTGGGTATAGGTCTTACTGACTACTCATTAGGCCCACGGCCTTCTTGGACTTGGATGCTTTATGTTAGGGTGCACAAGGTCTCAACACTTGTCTCCTAATTTGATGAAGTGGTTTCACTTCTCAAAGGCAGGCGTTGTCTTCTGTTTTCATCACTCTTCGTTCGTCATATCATTGTTATATGAAGGAGTGGAAAAGGAAAGAGATCACATTCCTCTTGTCACTCACATTAACTGATTAACTAACGTCTTTGCAGGGCTAAGACCGTTTGGACCTAATTGCTTCACGTATTAAGGTACTCCGGTACAAGTTCCTTTTGCTTAATTTTCTGTGTTATAATAAACTTCTGATAAGTGTCTTGTAGAAGAAGAAAGTTGCTGCATTTTTTCTCAATGTCTCATCAGCTGATCGAAATATCACAGAATCTAGTGAAGGTGAGGTGGGGTGTGAAAATCTTAGTGATTGGATGGCCTGGAAAACTGTACTTAGCACGTTTTGCTTTAATGAGCAAGCAAAGAGTATAATGCAATTGAGGTGCTTACAGTTCAGTTGTATTTCCATATCTTTAGTGAAGCTTTCTTATGGCTGGTTGCTACATGAGGAAAATGTGGTCATCTTTCATGAGCAAAACAGTGGGCTCCAAGCTTCCTCTTTTGCTTTATTCTTCAAGGTTTATCTGTTATTTTCTTGACCAGCTAGTCATCTACACAATTGAAGTGATTGGTCCAAGTATGTTCTTTCCGACAGGTTATCTTGTCCTAGCATGCAAGATAGTTGGCTGTCACCAGCTGTTGCTTTATTCTTCAAGGTTTATCTGTTATTTTCTTGACCAGCTAGTCATCTACACAATTGAAGTGATTGGTCCAAGTATGTTCTCACCGACAGGTTATTTTGTCCCAGCATGCAAGATGGTTGGCTGTCACCAGCTGTTGCTTCATTCTTCAAGTTCATCTTATATTTGTCACCAGCTGTTGCTTTATTCTTCAAGGTTTATCTGTTATTTTCTTCTCCGGCTATTCATCCATGCCACTGAAGTAATTGGTCCAAGTATGTTCTCACCGACAGGTTATTTTGTCCCAGCATGCAAGATGGTTGGCTGTCACCAGCTGTTGCTTCATTCTTCAAGTTCATTTCATATTTGTCACAGGTATATGTCTTGAGTGCATTCTTTTTATCAGGTTCTGACACCCCCCACCCCCTTTGTAGCTGCCTTTCCTTTTGACTTTGTTCTGATTGCTTCGCTAGAAGTTGTATTGGTAGATGACTGTGTGGGGAGGACTGCAGAATAGTAGTTAATGTATTGTTATTACGTAAATAAATTTTCTATAGTGTCTGGATCACATAAGTCAGAGCTCCTAAATTTTGAAGAAAGAAGAATCAATTTTCTTCCTTTCTTGATTACCTTCTTTGTGTATGTAGAAGACTGAATCCATTCAATTCCTAAGAAGGATTACTAATTCTTTTAACTTTTCAAAATATCCTTCATCTCAACCACTTATGTGTCATCTTTTCGACCTTGCTTTTGTAGGAGCAAGTGAGAAAGATTGAAAGGTAGCACCAGTGTATTAATTTGTTTTCAATAGCCATGTTGATCCCCATGTGGTGGTGCTTTTGTTGCTCCTTATTACAGTAGTGGCCTCTGAAGGATCAGAACCACTATTTTTTAGCTGGTAGTCCTGTCTAACCTAATTGAGATATATAGAGGATATGTGAAAATTGAGATAGGGGAAATAAAAAGGAAGGCCTATCTGTGTTAATCAATAAACATCATAATATAGTCCACAAATTGCAATAGAGAAATTGATCTGAAAATAATCATTTCATATTTCAGGATAGCATGTGAGTCCTCAAGTATTCATTCTGTTAGATAAAGTTTTGCGATTTTCTGTCTCATGGTGGAGATGTAGAATTTAAAACCTTACAACCTATTTTGAAAAAGAATTGGTAGGGACTAAGTCATTTTTAAAACCAGTAGTTGATTTTGAACCTACACTCAAGTCTCTCTAGGAGTTTGGCGCAGGTATTGATTAATTCTATGGTTTGGACCATCTCAGAAGTGCTACATGTTGGTAGGTATATCAGATATTTCCTGTTGATGTTGATCTGGAGAGCAGTTGTGGCGGGTATGTATGGTATGTTAACATTCTTTCAACTATCTTCGTAAAAATATATTGTCTGACAACAAAGTTTACCATTGCAAAAGAGAACAGGATATTTTCAGCTTTTACTGTCATCCATAAAGCTTCTCTCTTATGTTTATACTGCTACTGATCTGAGATTGCAGATGTATTCTTTGAGGGTCAATGTTTAGTATGTCATGTTAAAACATGCAAGATTCATCAACAATCCGTTGTAGTCTAGTCGGTTAGGATACTCGGTTCTCACCCGAGAGACCCGGGTTCAATTCCCGGCAACGGAATGAACATAACATGACATACTAAACATTGGGTCGGTTTTATTTTTTTTGCTACAAGAAGTGTAATATTGTTGTAGATAAACGGCAAGGAAGAGATGATCTTATGAGTCCAATGCCTGCAAAGATGAATACAGTTTAATGTGAGTATAAATAACTTTCGAATGAAATTTTGTAACAGTACTGAAACCTGATCTTTTTAACTCGATTTGCAGGCAGATAAACGGCAAGGAAGAGATGATCTTATGAGTCCGATGCCTGCAAAGATGAATACAGTTTAATGTGAGTATAAATAATTTTCGAATGAAATTTTATAACAGTACTGAATCCTGATCTTTTTAACTCGATTTGCAGGCAGTTAGATGCACGAATTATCTCGCGTTTGTACCCTCCATGTGGAGTAATGTAAGCAGTTTATTCTTCTGCAAACATGAACAATCTAACCGATGCTTCAAGGTGCCCTTTCATAGACTTAAAAATAGATTGCCAGGACCTCTGGTATACTCTCCGAAGCTTTCGTTTTTTTTTTATATATGTAATTGGTATATTCTTTTTCTCGAGGGTTCGGAACAATAAGTCTAACATGTCATTGTTTACATGTATAATACTTCGATAAATTAAGCTCACTTTTGACTATAAATTTTGAGATTGAAAATTGAATTCTTGAAGTTGTATCTGGACATGTGTTTTATTTGGGAAAAAAATGAAGATTTGTAGATGGAAGTTCTAAAAACTGGCTAGAACTTGAAAATAGTTGAAGATCAGATTTTGAAAATCTGGTCAAATTTTATAGTCAAATAGTTAATTGATGATAATTTTTTTTATAATTTATAGCAAAATCTGGTCAAAATTTTATAGTCAAATAGTTAATTGATGGTAATTTTTTTATGATTTATAGCAAAATCTGGTCAAAATTTTATTGTCAAATAGTTAATTGATGATAATTTTTTTATAATTTATAGTCAAACACTAGTTAAATCCTACGCTTGCACGTGAATAGAATAAAAAAAAATCACGAACATATACAAAGAAAATAGATGATTAAATTATAAATAACAAATCAACTTTGCAGAATATAGTGACTTTTTTTTATTAGTTACTCAAGGATCCTGTTTGATCTTGATACATATAGTTTACTTATATAGATGCAGAAATGTGATTTCTAAAATTGTGTTAAGGATATTTAGAAAAGATTATTTTACAAGTGAAAGAGAAAAAGAGAACGACTATTTATTAATTCAGAATATAAATAAAATATGTTATCTCATTGTACCGAAAGAAATTTAGAATTACTCATTCCTATTGTTGATTATAAATTATTTATTTCCAAGAGATGCACAATATATATGCCAATAAAAAAATATGACTGAAGATTAGAAGCTTTGATACTCAAGTAATGTGGAACGTACATATTACTCAATAATGAATAATTATTAATGTGTCAAGCCATAAATACATACAAGAGAACTCAAAGACGATTTTTAGACTTCCTTTGTTGTTTTGTTAGAAATTAGAATCTTTACTTATATATGTCAAGGAGATCAAATAATTCATATTATAATAAAAAAAAAACTAATTTCACCTTTGTGGAGGATAATTTTTTGAAAAATGAGATTCAATTAAATCCGTTTGCCTCACTCTAGCTTTAACCATGCTCATAGACACATATTATAACTCAATAGTTATTATCAACAAATTAACACACACAGTCACACACATATATATATATACACATAGAATTGCATAACATATATGTGATCCAATATTCATAACATTTGTTTAATACAAATATGCGCAAAATCCTAACAAATCTTTGAAAAAGAAATAAATCCTAAACCCTAGAAGCAAAATATTACCATTCAATCAATAGTATATAGTAATATACCATTCTAAAATTCCCAAATATATCCTAGACTCACCAAAACAGTAACGAAAAACAAACCCTAGCTTTAACACAACAAATAAGAAAACGACTAATATAATATATGGGGCAAAAGTAGTAATATGTATTATTTAATGTCAAATTACTGAAAGCTACGTAAAATGTATTGTAAATCTTAACAATTAACAACATTTGTTTAACTCTTGAAATTTTATCTATGCTACATACATTGAGACAAGTGGAGTAATATATATTAAGTATTTACAAATTACGTAAAAATATTATATTATTAACAACTTAAAATATTTAAAAATCATATTAAATTTAAATAACTCACTATATTTTATCTGTGTCACATACATTAGGACAAAAAATAATAGTTATTGGGCCCGTGCGTAAGAGAGTTTATGCCCAAGTATAATATATAATATTCAATGACTCTCCAAATTTCATTTGTGTCACATAAATTGAGACAACAAAAATAACATATATTGGGTCCATTTTAATTTATTTGTCTTATTTTTTTAAATTTTTTATATTTAAAAATTGCGTAAAAATACTATAAATCATGATAATTGACAACATAAAATATGTTTTGAAAAAGATACAAAAAATTGCACTGATTCTTGAAGTTAATCTATCGTAAAAATACTATAAATCATGATAATTGACAACATAAAATATGTTTTGAAAAAGATACAAAAAATTGCACTGATTCTTGAAGTTAATCTATCGTAAAAATACTATAAATCATGATAATTGACAACATAAAATATTTCAAAAATAAATACATTTAAAAAAATTCGATTGATTCTTGAAATTAATCTATCGTTAAAAATTATGTATAAAATACAATAAATCGTGATAATTGACAACTTAAAATATTTATTAAAAATGCACAAAAAAAGAAATTAACTGATTCTTAAAATTAATCTATCAATGTCACATAAAATGAGACAAAAGTAGTAATATGTATTATTTAATGTCAAATTACTGAAAGCTACGTAAAATGTATTGTAAATCTTAACAATTAACAACATTTGATTAACTCTTGAAATTTTATCTATGCTACATACATTGAGACAAGTGGAGTAATATATATTAAGTATTTACAAATTACGTAAAAATATTATAAATTACATTATTAACAACTTAAAATATTTAAAAATCATATTAAATTTAAATAACTCACTATATTTTATCTGTGTCACATACATTAGGACAAAAAATAATAGTTATTGGGCCCGTGCGTAAGAGAGTTTATGCCCAAGTATAATATATAATATTCAATGACTCTCCAAATTTCATTTGTGTCACATAAATTGAGACAACAAAAATAACATATATTGGGTCCATTTTAATTTATTTGTCTTATTTTTTTTAAATTTTTTATATTTAAAAATTGCGTAAAAATACTATAAATCATGATAATTGACAACATAAAATATTTCAAAAATAAATACATTTAAAAAAATTCGATTGATTCTTGAAATTAATCTATCGTTAAAAATTATGTATAAAATACAATAAATCGTGATAATTGACAACTTAAAATATTTATTAAAAAAACAGAAAAAAAAATTTACTCTATTTATTAAAAAAACAGAAAAAAAAATTGACTGATTCTTAAAATTAAATCGTGATAATTGACAACATAAAATTGTTCAAAAATGTTGTATGTGGGTAGTCTTATTGTGTCTTGAATAGCGTCAAAGAAAGTACAGGTTTGTGATAAAAAAACTTATTCCTTTATCCACGCAAACAATCGCTTCAAAAATTTCGTTATTAGCCCCAAAACATACCATTTATGTTATTGGGCCCGTGCATAGCACGGGCAACAAAATCTAGTATATACTAAAAAGTAGAGTAACAGATTTTAATATATCAACAAATAAAGTCCAAGACATAAAAAGAGTCTTAAAAGACAACTTTATACAAAATCTAAGAAGAAAATACATATATAGTAAAAGAAAAGTCATTAATGAAGGAGACCTAAGCTCCCAACTCTTTTTTATCCGAATATATATCGCATTTTATTTGCTCGAACGAGAAGACAAATTTTGCTATTACTAGTGAGAAGTAATTGACAAAATAGTTGTTTTTTAGATTATTAATTAAGTTTTAACTAGCGTTTTAAAATTATTTAGTGTTTAATACTTAAATTGAATAATAGATCTGTTCAAATAATTTTTCGAAATAAAATTCTGAAGAAAAAAAAAAGACAAAGAAGTGAAAAGTATCGTTGGCGGCACTTAAATTCCAGAAAATTCGTGAAGTTTTCTCGTTCCATGTTTGGAAGCAATGACAACAACTAAAATCTACTAAACAATTGACTCAATTTTGTATGCCACGTGTGAATATTAATGTATTCCGCAAATTCGCCTAAGATAAGGGTAGTCCGCAAGTCTGTGGACACCTTTATAGAAAAATTATTTAGTGTACATAAGTTAAATATGAATTGTTTATGACGAGAGGTAGTTGCTCGGATGGTAAGGAAGCTCCTAAGGAGGGTAAAAAAAAATATGAACTATTTATGAGAAAATGTTTAATTTTACATATCTCTATTAATTTTTTACTCCACCAATATTTCTTGGTATTGACAAAATCCAACCCCTTACAAAGAAGTGAAAATTGTTAATTTATATAGGCAACAAAGATGATGCATATGTAATAGGAAAGCTCCACTCAAGTCTTAAAATATTACTCCCTTCATTTTAAATTAATTGAATTATTGAGACATTTTTCTTTTTCAAATTAACTTAATTGTTCAATTTTCACGACTACTTTTAGAATGTTCTTCCAATCTTACCCTTCATTAGTTAATATTGGAATTAGTTATTAATTAATATTTAGTTATTTTGATCATGAATTTGATAATAATTAATAAGGATAAATGGAAAGTTAAATCTAATTTATGTCTTAATCTTCTTTTTTAAAGAGTGTGAAACACCTCAACGATTCAATTAATTTGAAATGAAGGAAGTACTGTCCAACAGAAATATTGTTATGTGTATCAACTACTCCTTCCGTTTCAAAAATAATGATCTCCTTTCCTTTTTTAGTTTGTTTCAAAAAGAATGACCTCTTTCCATTTTTGGTAACATTTTACTTTCAACTTTCCACGTGGCATGTTTAAGACCACAAGATTAAATGACAATTTTGTACCTTTGACATAATTTTAATTTAGGGCCACAAGATTCAAAAGTCTTCTTTATTTTTTTAAATCTTGTGCCAAGTCAAACTAGGCCAGTGAAACGGAGGGAGTAATATTTTCTTGAAATTTGTAAGATCTCGTACAAATATAACTGACATATCTATCATTTTGTCCTTCTGATTTGGGTCATGAGTTCCATGTATGGTTCAAAAGATTGCCATCACACCCAATTTTTCTGGCATATATAAGCCTCTAATTAACTCTATAGTAAAGAAATGGGAAGGAAACTTAGCTTAAATACATGCATCTGGTTTTTATACAAATATTAATTACATTGATCGAATAAATATTTATATGGACCTGATCAGGATTCAACTTGAGCATACAATATGAATCTTGGCATATATATACTCTCATTTACTTAATTAATTAGTAACTTTGATTAAATTTAAACCTAATTGATAACTAGTGGAGCAACACATCTAATTAGGTGTCAATTTAATAAATATCCCTCTGAAAACAAGACAAAAACATTAGATGGTTTAGTACCATGACCCATTCTTCTACTCCTACTTTTTATATATTTACTTTGTTTTCATAGATTGTGACAAGGATGAATTAAACAGATAAGTTAGCAAAAATCAGGCCTAATGATGAGGTAACCTTTATGAGACATTATCTCAACAAATTAAATTAATTTAACATGTCATGAAAGATAGCATAATGTTGAAATCACATAATTTTAAAAATTGTAATATGTTGAGATACTTTCATTTGTTTAGTTCCTAAATGGATTGGACTGGATTACTTTTAAAAATTAAATATTTGATAAGGTAAGGACCTTATAAATAGTTATTAGTGAACTCGAAAGATCATCGTGAAGTTGTTAATCGACAAATAGTATGTCAAGATCATGTTGTTTGAAAATTAAGACAGAGAACTAGACGGATGTGTACAAGCTTTTTTTTCTTTTGAAATAATTTCGCTACGTCCATTTTATCTAACTTTAGTTAAAAGAAATTAAATTTATCCAGATAAATTTTGTACACACCACAATTATGAAATTATTTATCCATATAGAAAGAGGGATCATAATCCTGATTATTATCACGGGATAACTTATTAATTTGAACCAAACAACCGCTATAATTACAAAGTTTAGTGCATCATAAATAATCCCAAAATACAGAAACAATTTGGATGATAATTATAAAAAAAAAAGACCTAATTAAATTAGCTTAAGGGTTTAGTACATGGCAATCAAGAACAAATAGGACAATCGTTAAATTAATTGAAATGGGACCCCACGTAGCTAATGATAATTATCAACTTGATTCGTTAATACAAATATCTCATCTTCAGCTTAATTAATTATAGAAATACCAAACCCAACAATAAAACATGTTTCTTAATTAATCAATACTCGTACAAGGTTACTATTAATTAATTAAAGATTAGCAAATGATCATCTCCCTTACTACGTGAAGTGAAGGACTGAAAAGTACTTGTTAGAATAAAAGTAAGAAAAATAAAAATGCAGTACGAAAATATCATTTTCAAGTAGCAATAAATCAAATATATACTACAATATGATAACGATTCCCAAATGTCATGGTGACTAACTATAATTATCATGAATCATATATTTAGTTGTACATACACGTAGAAACTGCATTGACGCAGACACATATTAATATTTATTGTTGACTATTGGACAGTATACTGTAACCGATAAGTCAATCGTAAAACTAGCTTATTGATATATTAGTATTGTGTTATTGGATAAATGGTTGGTGAACGGATTGAAATTCTATAGTGAACAGTTTATTGGTTTATGGATAGATTACTCAATTTCCTTATTGGGTAAACGATTAACCCGTTAAGAATTATCGCTGTTATATTTTTACCGTAAGTATATTTGTTAAATAAATATTTATGTGCATGAACCCTAAAGATTTATACTTTCATATATTTCTTACTATGGATTTACAATTACATGATTACTAGCTTAAGTAGAGCTTGAAAAAATTATTTGTTTGATTAAAGATCAATATATTGGTGAGTGAAAGTGAAAGAAGAGAGTATGAAATGATATAGAGTCAATACACCATCTATAACCGTCCATTAATTATTAATTCAATATCAAATCAACCGTTAACTTATTGATTGCATTTAAAAGCCAATATCCAATAAGTTAAATCATAAACATAATTATCCGTCCAATTCATCTAACAAGCAACCCTAATATAAACAAATCATTTATAAATCCTTCCAAATATGAAAGTTACACAGTATATATTATTGTTATTATTAAAATTTAATTTTTATATGATAGTTTATTCCAAGCTGAAATGATCTGGTCAAGCACTTAGAATCTTCCAGATTAAGAAAAAACATGAAGAAACCTCAGCGCAGGGTATGCACGTTGCCAACTTGGTATGCAATTTATGGTAAACAAATCTTGATTTTGTGTTATGATCAAATAATTTATTAATTAAAATGAGATACTACTATAAATATTAAAAAACATATCTGGAAAACGATGCCCAACTATTCAAGATAAGTCCCAACACACGAAGACCATGTGGATTCCATATCCATCGTAAAATACTAAAACTTAAATAAAGTAATTTAAAAATAAATAAATTAATATCCATCACAATTACGCATTCAACATGAATCATATGCTCGATTAATTCACACCACATTCCACTTCTGAAAAAGAAACTAATTTACCAATTCAGAAATATAAATAACATATTGGTTGATTGACAATTCACTTTTATTACAATAAGAGCATCAATTTAATATCAAATTTTACACATTAGTTTATATAATGAGATGATTTTTGAGTAAATTTATAAGAATATAACATTTAAGAATGTGACCCAATAATTAATAAAATAAATTTATAATTTATTGCATTTAAGTTTAGGATTTTTCAAAAATAAACTTTCTCCTATTCTTTTGATATAGGTTCAAATTTTAGTAGACCGAGTTAGTACTTCATATCCCCTATAAAAAGCAGGTTCTAAGCGTTACGTTTCAGCATTCTGGTATTCACTGTTACAGCTAATAACACACATACACATACCAACCCACAAATTTTGCTATCCCTTCTCTAAACTTTACGCGTGGATACCCAATTTCTCTCTTATAAATAAACCCCCTCACTGTACAATTCTTCTTTCTCTCTTTTCCATTCTTGCACCTTCTTTTGTTGCCATTCAAGAATTACTGAAAATTTTATCTTTTTTTCTATTGGAGTTTGTGGGGGTTCAAAGATCTTAACTTTAACTATTTGGGTTTCTTGGGATTAAAGATTTGAACTTTTTTTCATTTTATATTTTGGGTAATCTTGGTTTTCTTAAATTGGTTGGTGTGGAAAGAGGGAGAGGGAGATTTGTGGGGTGAAAATATCTGTAAAAGGGAATGAGGATGAGGGGTGAGATAGTGGGGTACAAAGAAGAGGAAGATTACAAGACAGAAGAGGAAGAAGAAGAGAGGGAAATGGTTGGTGGAGGGTTACCAGAGTCTAAGTTTGTTGTGGTGGGTTATGCTCTTACTTCTAAGAAAGTTAAGAGCTTTTTGCAGCCTAAGCTTGAAGGTCTAGCTAGGTAATCTTTGTACTCCTTTTTTACCCTGTAAATTTGTCTTTGTTGCTTTGTGTAAAAGTTCCAGCAAGATCATCACACACTCTATTGGAGCTTGAATGTATTTTTTTGGGGGTGTTTTCTGTTTATCTTGTTTTTTCTCTTTTCTGAATGTTTGTTTCTTGTGTTGATTTCTTGTGAAGTGTACATTAGGATTAGTTCATCGGATTTTGCATATTACATATTTGATGGTGGTGTTGTTGTTGTACACTCTGTCCTGTCCAGCAAACACTTGTTCCCAAATGACTGTTTTTCTGGGAGAAATGACTTTTTTTGTGGTTGAAAGTTGAAAATTTTATTATTTAGATTCATTACTACTTTATGGTTGCTTTTCCTTGAAGTTGTGAGGTCTTTTAATTTGCACAGTTGATAGTTTGGAATAATTATAATTCAGGCAGTATATTCTTTTATTTCATGTGGCCAGCATAATTGGAGAATATTTTGGAGGAATAGTAACCTCTGACAGATATTTTTTGGTGCTGTCATACGTCATTGCTGCAAAAAATTTAGATTCTTGAAAATATCAATTAATTTACTAGTCGCTTTCTTAAAATGACCTGTTTGTAATTTAATCAATGCTGTTGCTAATTTGACATTTGGGAAGTAGTGGGTTAGGAAATAGTCATGGACTCATGGTAGACTTCTAATTTTTACTTTTATTTATTTATTGTTATGATGATATGATATGACCTTAAATAACGAAATGAGGATTCCTATAGCTGATCCCCACTTATTTGGACTGAGGCGTAGTTGTTGTTTTACTGTTTGGGATTAAACTCCATCTACCTCAGCTTAGAGTCTCCCGTAGCTGCCCCACTTAAGCTTCCCCTGCCCGGTCCTGCCTCATCAATTACCATTAGTACATGTGATCTAGTGCAAGTAATTTTATGTACTTTGAATTGTGGTTGCTTTATCATTCGTGCTTTCTGTCTGAAATAGGAAGTTGACCATTGAACTACACTTGTGAATGTCTTGTAGAACCAGAACCGAACATACACTTAAGATTGATGAATGAAGACCCCATCCACGCCATGCCATTACCTTGATTTTGTGTCACTCAATTTTCCATGCAACTTCTTTTACTCAAGCTTTGTCACATAGATTGAGAAAACAATTGCAATTTAGTGGCTAACCTTGCTCATTTATTGTGCAGGAGTAAGGGAATATTATTTGTTGCTATTGATCAGAGCAAATCCCTTTCAGATCAAGGTCCTTTTGACATTGTGCTCCATAAGGTCCATATTTTCTACCTTCTCTAATTCCGTTGTGTATTTCTCCCTCTTAGGGGAATGTATACTTTCTGATCTAATAGTAATCCTTTAATTCGCAAACAGTCTATCTCCCAAGGTAGGGGTGAGGTCAGCATACACTCTACCCTCCCGAGACACCACTTGTGGGATTACACTGTGTTTGTTGTTTGTTTGTAATATTGTTAAAGTCATTATCACCAAATATCTGTTCTGAAACATGTTACTTGTGTGTATATGCTTGCATACCTAATCCTTTATAGCTTGTCCCCGGGAGATGTCATTTTGTAATATGGTGCCCTCCATCTCTACCTGACATTTTTGTGCTCCTTTCTTGCAGTTGTCAGGAACCAAGTGGCGGCGTATTCTTGAGGTTGGTTCATTTGGAAGCTTTCTTTGTGTGTGTATGTGTGTGTTTTACAGAGTCCTGTTGATTACAGCTAACATGCATCGTTCAGACAAATCTGTAATAAGTGTAGGCTACAATATACATAATTACTTGATGTGGATTAGACATGCTTTGGCAGTGATTGGTGAGACAAACTGTCTTTTTGCTTAAACTTGTTCTATCTGACATAACTTGCAGACTGCTAGCTCTTTCCCCTGTCATGAATCATGACTTGGTAATTGTGTTAAAAGCCTTGAGCTTCGTGGGCAGATTAGCTGATTGATTGCAGATAGGATTCCTGGTTTCCATATATGGATCTTATTTTTTCCGCGGCTCATCACAATCCTCATATCAGCTTAAGAGGAGAGCACTAACCGAATCAATGCCCTTTAATCTGTGGTATATTTCCTTTTTAAGTGCCGCTCTAATGCTCCCCAAGTTGCTTGGATTGAGGCGTATTAGTAGTTGGGATTATACTAGTTTTGTCAGAGACTAGTTGTTGGAAAAGGTGAACTCAGTGTGCTCTGTTCGCCTTATTTTTATTCTGCTTTTTAACTGATGTTTGTTTCTCTAGAGCCTATTTTTAGTTTAATCAACTGAGTGTATAGGAAGAACCACCATTATTTTTCTCCTTAGCTCTTTTCGTTGCTCTCTGTGTAGGAATATAGGCTAACGCATCCAGATGTCACAGTTCTTGACCCTCCGGATGCCATACAGCAGGTATACAACCGCCAATACATGCTTGAAGATGTTGCGGACCTGAATTTGTCGGACACCTATGGTAATATTTCCCGTCTGTTCATGGTTATTTGAGAACAATTGATTGCAGTAATTTTGGCCCTGGGAAGCTGTGTGAACTGGGGATTGCCACATTTTCTTTTTGTTCTTGGTTTGAAGAAGTGGGAAGAGGGCCAAATGCTGGGCTGCTGGGTAAGGGGGATTGAGGAGTGGGGTTTACTATATCAGTGAAAAAATGGATTAACTTATTTTTGATTGCCTGACAGGGAAAGTTGGTGTTCCCAGGCAACTGGTTATTGAGAAAGATTCTTCATCTATTCCAGATGCAGTAGGTAAAGCTGATCTGAGACTACCTATTGGTACGTTTTTTCTCTTCTCATTCGTCTTTAATCGAACTGATCCTTGGGCAGTTGCCACTTTAAAACTCAATAAGATCTGTACCTCGCTTGTAGCCATCAAAATTGCAACTGTGTAACTTACTGGGGACAAGCATCTGAATAATTTGATCTTTCAAATTTGAGCAATATGTAAACAAAGTAATCTGTTCATGGAATTCCTGAATTGAGCTTCTTTTATCTTCTCAGTTGCAAAGCCTTTGGCTGCCAAGTCCCATGAGTTGTCTCTAGCCTATGACAAATTCTCTCTTCAGATGCTAGAACCCCCACTTGTGCTACAGGAATTTATCAACCATGGTACATATATAATTTGAAATATTGAACTTGTACCTTCCATTCCATGTGCAGATGTTTATAAGTCGTCTTGTTGATGATTATGTATATTTTTCTTGTAAATGTAGGAGGAATTCTGTTTAAAGTATACATTGTTGGGGAAGCAGTTAAGGTTGTTAGACGATTCAGTTTACCTGATATTAGCAAGCGTGAGCTGGCAAAAAACCCTGGGGTTTTTCGATTCCCAAGAGTTTCTTGTGCTGCTGCATCTGCAGATGAAGCAGATTTAGACCCTTCTGTCGGGGGTGAGCCATCTTTTCCCTCAGTGACGACTTTCTCTTTCTCGATACATCATGGTTGCTTTAGATATGTGAATGCACAAATTTATGGCATACACTAGAAGAATATAGCAGATGAAAAATAAGTGCTTCTTATATTTATTTTCTTATTTCATTTATTGAATTTGTTTCATAGAAACAAATTCTTTATTATTTTTGGACCAAAGATCCGTTTATTGCTCATGAAATTATCAATACATATCCAGGCTAGTAATTAGACCGTTTTAAACAAATGCCAGATAGCCCAAAAAAGGAAATAAAAGGACAACTTGGTTTAAATGGCAATATTGGTCTTTCCCAAACCAAGCTGTCCTTTTATTTCCTTTTTTGGGCTCTCTGGCATTTGTTTAAAACGGGTAATTACTAACCTGGATGTGTATTGATAATTTCATGAGAAATAAACGGGCCTTTGGTCCAAAATTTTTATTTTTATTTTTAAAAAAAAATTGTTTCTATGAACCAGTCAATGATTTTAAAGCTCTTTAGAAGCTAACACTACAGATCACCAAGAGCTAGGAAGAATGGGTCGCTGTCATTACTGGATATGAGATTTTCCTAACAAGGATGTTTATCTTATATGACTTGTCTTAGAGTTGTTTTTTGTCTTGTTGAGATTTCTCTAGGACCATGAGCTTCTAATTCTTTTGAATCATGGGATCACAGGAGTCTGGAATGGGTTCCTTTAACGTTGATCTTTTACCGCCAACAATAAGCTTTACAATTTTTGCAGTCTCTTCCCCAATACTAGAACATTTTTGCTATTATATTCATTCTAACGATCATGCTTTCTTTTCATTTCAATAATTCAAACTTATGCAACTATGTTTCAAATTTGATGTGATGACATTTTCAAGTTGGTACTTTACATTTTCACATTTCATACTATTATTTTAAACACTTGCTTACTGAGAAACTCAAATAAGATGATGCTTTCAAATATTTTACTCCTAAAACCTTGCAATGCAGAATAGGTCTTTGATTATGTGGAACAGAAAGATCATTTTCTGGTTAATAACCTTCCTCCATTTGTTTCCGGAAGTGCTTTAAATGGATCATACTTAGATGATGTTTTATGAGAGGATTACAAGAAATGATTGGTTAGGAAGGGGGCCATCCAGTCGTGATGGTTCTTTGGTGTATGATGCCATTTGAAGTAGTTCACAGATAGGACACTCAATCTGAGGTTTGAAATTTAGAAACTAAAGAGATACAAAAGTGTTTGGAAATCCTTAAAGCTTCTTTGTATGTGGCAAAATGGTACTACCTTGGAACTCTTAGGTGTGTGGGATTTGTTACATACTGTATTTAGTTCATGTTGCTGGATCAGACCAGTGACATCCATCTTACCTAGGTGAATACTATTCTACTCGGGATGACATATTGTGTACTGGTGCATTTAATTATGTATATCTACGTGTAGAGACCTGAAGTAAATCTTGGATGGTTGGTCATGATTTTCTTTAACATCTTATCCTTTGCAGAGCTTCCTCCGCGGCCATTACTTGAGAAGCTTGCTAAGGAACTTCGACGTAGACTGGTATATTGCTTTCTGTTTCTCTTTCCATAAATTATCATGTTCAAGTTGTGGTTCTGCTGATTCATAAGGTAATTTCCTAAAATATTAGTGCAATGTTTGTGCAGGGTCTCCGTCTCTTCAACTTGGATATAATTAGAGAGCTTGGAACCAAAGATCGATATTATGTCATAGATATTAATTACTTTCCTGGTAAGAAATCCTTCTAGTAGAATTACTCACCTTCTGGGATAAAGTAGTTTGATTGTTGTGCACCACTTTTTGAAGAAAGTCATGATTGCAATACTTTTATACTATGCTGCAGGTTATGGGAAAATGCCAGAGTATGAGCACATATTCACTGATTTTCTCCTAAGCCTTGTGAAGCAGAAACAATGAGAAATTGCGAAAATCTGCTCCTCGTTAACTATTACTTTAAATGGAACTACTGGGAAGGAATCCTCCCCATAGCACGAGGATGATAGAATCTTGCAAAGATTTCTGTGGCAGTTTCTATAAGCTGATCGGAGACACTGGTGGTTAAGTGCAGAAGAGCTCTCTCGATAATGGTTGCTACTTTGGAAGCTTGCCCCCCCTTAGTACACAATTCCAATTTACTGAGCTTGGGGTCTCTTTCATTTCCTGTCTTTGGATAATTGATAGATTTAGCGGATTCAAGAAAGCTTGAGCCCTTGGTAAATGTTGGCTGGAGGGTGAACATGCCTGTGTTTGAAGGGCAAATAATTGCTTCTACCTTGTAAATATGCCATTTACAGTAGGAACATAAAATGTACATTGTTGGCTCTTCTAATCTACTGGATAGCTTGTTTTTTCGTGTTTTGTTGATCGGAATGTTTCTGAATGACTTTGGTTTTTGCAACCATGTTGAAAGGATTCCGACTCAAAAAAGTGTTTTCAACAGGGGAAAAGTTGCATACGTTGAATTTTAATATTGTCATGTTTAGAACCTAGTCAAGATGATCACATTCACACCATAGTGTAATTGAATGAGTATATGCCTTAATGCATACTCATTGCTGGATCAACCATAGGATGCCCAGCACACAGTGGTTAAAGAAGTGTATTTGATATTGCTACGGGTTTCTTCTTCATTGTTTTTAGTACGAGACTGCTTAGCCCCTCTCCCCTTCCTCCATTGCTAGGAACCTTGTCCGATCACATTTGATTCTTCATTATATTTGCTTTACATATTTAATATTACTTGAATCAAGAGTCTATCGGAAACAAATTCTATGAACCCGATCTCAAGCTCGACTGCTTTGGGATTTGGTTGATACGTAAGAATATTGTTTTATTATCTGTGTCGTGTTATCACAAGCTACGACAATTTCTTGAAGACGTTATCTAGTGGCAATTTAACATTACTACTATTAAATAATCACACTTACATATTACTCAGTTACACTGACCAGATTAAAAACTTAACGTAAAACATTTCTAATCACTTAACAGAGCATCATTCAATTCAAAATTGCGCCAAGACTGTAATTGAACAAGTTGCAAATTTGAACGGGACGAAAATTCCCCAAAGTATCAAACGGAAAACACCATTATACAAAGCCGAAATGACAAATTATAAAATTACAGAAAAATTACTCAGATTTGGCGTCGGACTCTGAAGCTCCGGCGGCAGCGGGTTGACCTGATTCATCACTGGCAAATGACCACTCCGATGGTAAGGGAGGCAACGGAGCATAAACAGCTGGTCCACGTCGAATATCCCAAGCTTGAGTCTTCCGTGGACGTGTCTTCTTATGGTGAGCTGTGGCCTTCTTCTGTGGCCTAGATGAGCACTCAATTACCAATCCCCCAACACTTGTCGGTGCCGCCGCCAACCTGGTGGCTCCGCCGGTGAATCCGGTGGTTGAAACAGTTGATGAACGCGGCAACACCACCATCTGTAACCCGAATATGGCCGAGGCTGACATTTTTTTTGTTCTCTACAAAGCTTTTCCTTCTTCTGGCTGTGTTTAATGGAACCTTTGAAGTGGATTGCCTTCGTTATCTTCTGGTGATTTCAGTTTATGCTAATGTTACGGCGTCGTTTGGGATTTGGGCCGAATAGCCTTTTGGGTTATTTGAGTGTTGGATGTAATAGAACAACATTTGGTCTGGCCCAAATAAATCTGAGGGATCATAGCTCGGATCATTTGCACTTTTGCTTCTCTTTAGTTTTGGTCTTTAATTTATGTGCCTTGTAACAAATAATTTTATCATAGTTTACATTTTTGTATAATAATATTTTCCAATTTATGTTCATATATTACTTCAGTTTCTAAAGAATTTATGCCCCAGTAGGCATAAGTTCAATCATTGAAAGACAAAAATTAAAAATCAACTCTTGTAAGGAAAAAAACGTGTAATTTTATAAGAAATAGCTCCTAATGATCATTTTTTGGCCCAACTTTAAGAAATAACCCCTATTCTAAAGTTCTTAAGTAAAATATGAGGACTTGACTATTTGTGAATTTTCACAAGGTGAGTCGTTAGTTCAAGCTTACATGTGTGTGTGTATTTTTTTAACTAAAGATCTTTAAATTATTTAGATAAATTCAAGGTACTATTTATATAAAATATGTATTGATTTGTAGTCTTGTGGTTCAGACTTCAAACCCTCCAACATCTTTTATAGTCTGCACCTTGAGGTGAATTTGACTTAAATAATATATTTTTAAAAATAAAATATTTATAGCATTAAGTCTGAAAACTATAGCCTAATTCCTTCGGTATCCGTATTGATCTGAATATTTCACCGGATCACTCAATCGACAGATGAACAGTATATAACGTGAGTTGATAACTTGCACTTCCTAGGAATTCCCCGTCGAAGACCCAAAGGTCATTGTGACTGAAGAATAGTTTATGAAATTATATTGAGAACATAAATTAGGTGAATAAATTCAGAAAAGACTCTAGAAAAACGAGAATAGTCAAAAGTATACGGCCTAATTGAATTAAAATGAGTAATAATCTTATAAAGATCCTGGGACACAATTCCTCAAGTTGTGTGTGCATGTTTGGTAATGTTTTCAACTAGTCATAATTACCATAACTATTTTAATCTTTCTCTCATATTATATGAATTAATATAAAAGTTGTTGTATAATATATGCACTATAGTAGTTGTATGTTGGACATAACTATAAGAAGTAAATGTTGACTATTAGTAGGTGACATGTTTGAGGGAAATAACTTTACTTCGAAAAGGTTAAATTGTTCCTTCAATTGGTGTCAAATAGTTTAATTTTCCTGCCTTTGTCGGTGATATTGAAGTAAAATTTCACTTTTAGATTTTCATTACTACAATAACACTTTTTGCTATTAGTTGCTAATTTAGACAGAGCTTGGGTTCACATGTATCTCTACTCTCCTTGCTAATATATATAAATCTCTTACTCCCATTCCAGAAGGATCAATAGTAATTTTTATCCATCAAACGTGACTCAATCACTAACCGCTCACTCAACCTATATCAGTTGATGATAAAGATGCTCAACCAATTATATATTACAAGACTATCAAACACGACCACCAAAAAGTTGATGAAAAAGATAGTTCAGAACAAGTAGGTCATACAAAACACACCTGAGTGTGATTCTTACACATAAAAGAACAAACATATACATCTCATTGCATCTACTGTTAGCCTTGTGAGTTATTATATGCCAGTCTATCCCATTTGTAGTCCGTGACCTTTATTGTTCCCCCACTTATATGGATCATCAAGATTAATGGGTTGACCAACTTCTTGCTTAACACTAATCTACACTAATCAGCCCAAAACATCCTATAGCCCAGTAAAAATGAGTTGGTTACATCTAGCTGCATTTTGGCAATTAGTGCTTTGTTTTATTGGAAAAAAAGTAAAGTTGCATTAATTTCTTATTTTTATAATTGTGGTGTCCGATTCAGCAACAAGTACCAAATAACTCTGTCTGTCAAGGCAAGGATAGATGAGAGAAAATAGCATAATAATTTTGTTTAGATTGAAATTTGAATCTATGATCTCATAAATTTCAACTCAATTCATCGAATACTAGGCTATACCTTTGAATGTTATGCTTAAGTTAACTTTGTCTTCCAATTAAATTTGATGCTCTTATTAGTTATTAATGTGAGTATCTCAAGATTTACTCAACTTTGGCAAATTTTAACCAGTTCACTAACAATAAAGGAATATAATAACATGTTTGACTAACTTCTAAATTTAATTTATTTTGAAAATTTAAAAAATATATTTTTGATGAGAATTAATTTATGTTTGACTAATAAATTTTAAAAATACTTTTTAAGTAATAATTATTATTTGATTAAACTTTTTAAAAATGCTTAGTGTATTTTTTAAAATATCTCCAACAATCACTTATTTTCTTTCAAAAAACTTAGTCAAAACTACGACCTTTCAAAAAATTTGATCAAAGAGACTATAAAACTAAACTCAAACGAAGAGCAAACTTATTCTATTTCAAATTTTAAAAATACTTTTTAATTAATAATTATTATTTGATTAAACTTTTTAAAAATGCTTAGTGTATTTTTAAAATATCTCCAACAATCACTTATTTTCTTTCAAAACTTAGTCAAACTACGACCTTTCAAAAATTTGATCAAGGAGACTATAAAACTAAACTCAAACAAAGAGCAAACTTATTCTATTTCAAATTTTAAAAATACTTTTTAAGTAATAATTATTATTTGATTAAACTTTTTAAAAATGCTTAGTGTATTTTTTAAAATATCTCCAACAATCACTTATTTCTTTCAAAAACTTAGTCAAACTACGACCTTTCAAAAATTTGATCAAAGAGACTATAAAACTAAACTCAAACAAAGAGCAAACTTATTCTATTTCAAATTTTAAAAATACTTTTTAATTAATAATTATTATTTGATTAAACTTTTTAAAAATGCTTAGTATATTTTTTCTAAAGTGTTTTTTTAAAATATCTCCAACAATCACTTATTTTCTTTCAAAAAACTTAGTCAAAACTACGACCTTTCAAAAAATTTGATCAAAGAGACTATAAAACTAAACTCAAACGAAGAGCAAACTTATTCTATTTCTATTTAAGAGACAAATTTTACTGTTTCCCTTATTTTCTCGTGTCATTTTTCAAATTCAGAATCAGATGTTTGAAAATAATTGAAATCGGTGAATTAGGAAGTTAGATTGATTTAACTATGGCAAGATTACAGCCTACGATTATATTTTTTCTTGATTAAACAATACGTAGGCAAGTATTAACAATAACACAACAAACGACAAAAATAGCAATTAACAACTATAGAGTAACATAAAAAAAATCACAAACCTTTTATATTAACATCATTAAATATTTATTGACAGCAGCAGCTAGCTAAGCTGGTGATCAATTACAATATTTTCTTGACGATTTCATAAACAATTATTTCCTCTTCTATTTGACCCCTCAAACATGATTAGCTACTAACATACTTAATTGGATACCACTAATCCTTCTTGCTGACTTTTCTCCTTAAATTAATCAAATCCGCCAAGCTTAATTTTTTTTTTTTTAATTTAAGTCATTTCTAGAAAAGTTTTATAATGATAACTATACATACAACTATAATATTGCTTCATGCCGACGTTATTTTAATCAAAAAGACGACATCCACGTTTCAAAGATACTCATAACTCATAACAATAATAACAAATTCGGTATAATTCCAAGATGTGATATTTATATAAATAACAATATATTTAATGTAACTTTATAAGTGAAAGACTGAAAAAGCTATACATTAGAAATTCATAAGACGATTTTGCCAAAAAAAGACATTACTCTTATCTCGAAAAAATAAAGTAATTATTTTTGATAGACTATCTACTCAAAAAAACAATAACAATAATAAGAAATCATTTAGTAGCTAGATGAAATTTGAGTTATCCACTTATTATTTTTTGCATTATTATTATTTACATAATATAATGTATATAAATTTAAACTCAAAAATCTATAATTAAAAATAAAGAATTACTTATCGCTCCGCGCACCTCTCTCGGGCAACGACCCGTTAAAGTTGCTGTTATAATAATAAGATAAAAAAGAGACTCATGTATTGCATTTTTTCCTCAGTCTCAATTTGTTAGGAGATCTCATGTGGGACCCGGTAGACAACAACCCAAGGGTATAAAAGTCATTTTAAGAGTAGGCATAAGGGTAATTTGGTAATTGGAATACTCCTACTGGCATAAAAGCCATTCCAGGTTGTACACAGCTGTAATCCAACCACACGAACAGAGTTTCTATTTAGCAGCTAAAATAACCCACTCCTCTCCGTACAATGAATATTTGTAAACAAATAATTAAATAATTTTATATTCCATTTAACAAAGTTTCTTTTTTATTTATTTTATTTTATGATTTTACATTACCGAAAAAGGACCTTATTAGAGTCGTCTTCTTCCTACAGATGAACACAGTATTTTCGAGTGGAGCCAATTCTATACACAAATCCCTATGGACTCTATTTAAACTTCTTCTCAACAACGGCGCACACTAGTGTTTTTCTTTATCCTACGCTTCGCTTATTAGTTCTTCAATTTTGCCTTTAGCTTTACAGAACTTGGCGAAACTGAGTGTGGGCACAAACCAGAATGGATCCGTGTCCTTTCGTGAGGCTCAGTGTGTGTAATTTAGCGTTAAAAATTCCGGTAGCTTCGAAGCCGGCTCGTTCCGTCGTGCATCCGTCGTCGTCTCCGTGTTTTTGTAAAATCAAGTTGAAGAATTTTCCTCTCCAGACAGCGGTTGTACCGTGCATTTTGCCTGAGAGTCAGTTTCCTGACAGTCAAGTACAAAGTCATGCGGCGAGTTTTCACCTTAACAAGTCTGATCTCGAAAAGCTGGTTGCAAAGTCTCTTTTCGGCGGCGGGAAGTTGTACCTTCAAATCTCAATTTACACCGGCAGGCGAGGGTCGACATGTGGTGTGAACTCCGGGAGGTTGCTAGGGAAGGTTGACGTACCGTTGGATCTGGCGGGAACGGAATCTAGGTCAGTATTGTTTTACAATGGCTGGATTGTGATAGGAAAGGAAGCGAAGAACTCGAGTGCTCAGTTTCATCTGAGTGTTAAGGCGGAACCCGACCCGAGATTCGTGTTTCAGTTCGACGGAGAACCGGAATGCAGTCCTCAAGTATTTCAAATTCAAGGAAACATTCGTCAACCTGTTTTCACATGCAAATTCAGTTTCCGTACCCCCGGCGACCGTAATCAGAGGTCCAGGTTGGTTCCGATACTTTTTTTTTCAACTTTAGTTCTGATACCGACAGGCTTGACTTGCACAATTAGAGCTCACACTACATTTGCCGCATAAACGATTCGAATTTTCCAGTATTCAATTGCAAAAGATGTTCAAATTGTACGGGATAGTTAATTTTACGATTCCTAATTAAAGCTTATAAAGTAGCTTCCAATGTCAGTAATTAGAAGTCATTTCTTCATGTAGTTGGAAAAAATCTTCAACAAACACATAGTTCATGTTTAAAGCAAAGATACTCCACTTTTTCTCCCTTTTCCATTACGCCTCGGAACACTTTTTACTCACGAGTTTTCAATTTCTTTTAACGAATTCGGAACTGCATTTTTGCAGGTCTTTGCCATTGGAGCATAGTAGTTCACGAGGATGGTTAAGTTCGTTCGGAAGCGAAAGGGAGCGACCAGGGAAGGAGCGAAAGGGATGGTCAATTACAGTCCACGATCTCTCCGGTTCACCAGTCGCCGCTGCGTCAATGGTTACACCTTTCGTAGCCTCGCCCGGTTCAGACCGGGTAAGCCGGTCCAACCCCGGCTCATGGCTAATTCTCCGGCCAGGTGACGGAACGTGGAAACCATGGGGTAGACTCGAGGCGTGGCGCGAACGTGGTTCAGCAGACGGGCTTGGCTACCGGTTTGAGCTAATCCCAGACTCAGCCGCAACTGGAATAGTGTTAGCCGAATCGACATTAAGCTGTAGCAAAGGTGGAAAATTCGTGATAGACCTTGGAACGAGCGTGTCAACGAATGGGAAGTCGACACCTGTGAACTCGACGTCACCGGCGTGTAGCCCTAGAGGAAGCGGTGACTTTGGGTACGGATTATGGCCTTATTGTATGTATCGAGGTTTTGTGATGTCGGCTAACGTGGAAGGTGAAGGTGGAAGTAAGTGCAGTAAACCTACAGTGGAAGTTAGCGTACAACACGTGAACTGCACGGAAGACGCAGCGGCATTCGTGGCTTTGTCAGCTGCCATTGATCTCAGCATTGATGCTTGCAGGCTTTTCTCTCAAAAGCTTAGGAAAGAATTGTGCCCTTCTCAGGATTTACTCTCCTGAGATTCTTTTAACTGTTTTTTTCATTCCTTTTTTTTTACTTGTGAGTGTTAAATGGTGGCGATGAGTTTTAGATATCGTCGGTCACTAGTTGATTGTTAGTATTACTAACGAACATTATTAGACTGTTTTCTTCAATATGTACAGAGATTGTGGGGGATTTGACTGACAGAGCACTTTTTTTTTGCCATAAATTGGTGTGTTGCTCATTGTAAACTTTCTTCACTGTTGCAAGTTGTCAATGTCAAATATTGCTTTCGAGTTTAGCATACTTGTTGGTTGTTGGTATTTCTCAATACTGCAAGTAGTAAATTTTAGTTGTTACAAACTGATGGAGATACTGTTGAAATCTTGTATTTACCTAAATGAGATGATTAAGGATTAGTATTTGATTATGATGTGTAGCGGATATGAGGGGAACGTGCGTGCACGCAAGCGTTGAAACTGGAGTTAGGTACGTAAAATATTAATTAGAAAGTAGTTTGATACGATTATTAATGTGCTAAATGTGGGAGATAGCTGTAATGCTGTTTTAATATGGGAAAATTTGTGGTTTGGTGACAATAGTAGGGATTTGCCAGCTATGCTACTGACTTGGAAGGAAAATAAAGTATGTGATATATTTGAACATAGCTTTTAAGAAGCTAGGGTGGGAATATTGGATTTGAGACGAATCCTTTTGTTTTTAAAAAATGACCTTGAGGGTGGGCTGGGGTTGGGGGGAGGGGGCACCTATTTAGCTATAGAGTGGTGTTGGTGTATAATATGTATATATATATCTGGTGCAACAGTAGCAGAAAGGCCAATTTGTGTGGGTGAGTGAGGTGGTGGGGGACCAATATTGTAGTGTTAGTGGGGGAATTGGAAATTAAAACTAACAGCCTGGCTTATCAGTCAATGTATCAAATTGAACGTCGAAGCAAAACTAGGTCGGCCCATTTACTACCAAATTGCCTAGCCACTCATGCCCAACACTATTACAAGTCATTCATTTGATAGACCATATAAGAATAATATTAAATAAAGTGTATTAATAATATTTGCATAAAAATAGTATGCATCACATAAAAATGATTATTCTTCAAATAATTTACACAGTTTTCTTCAAGGCTCTATCCGAAGAAAAAAATTTCAGACTTACAAAATAGTGTTCAACTATCAATAGGTAATTACTACACCTGTTCACAAAAGTAAGAATTTTTCCTTTAAATAAAGTTCCTTCAATTCTATTCTTGTTCACTATTTTCAATGTAGAAACGTAAATGAAGTGGGGATCTGGTCTTTAGATTAAAACTGGTCAATATTGTACTGGCAGAGATGTTATACTAGTAACATTTATTATGCTGAGTGTGTTTGGTGTTGTAATAAGTTCAGAATGAGTCATTCCTAACAAGAATCCGATGTCGTTGTCTCTGTTGCTTCTTAACTAAGCACTCTTTCTTCCATATACAGCCATCACGCCACAGAACTCACGTTCCTCTCTATTTCGATAAATCAGATATTTATATCAAATCAATAAATTTGTTACTATACATGTACATCTATTATTTAATTATGGTAATAAATGTGTGTAAGAAATTTCGACAAAGATATTCAAGGATAACTTTCAAGGTTTTACGAAAGGGTGTTCAATTGACCAACCTTCAACATATATAGCTACGTTCCGTTCCACTAGTACAATTTCCACCTACTATAACATTAAATGGGTGTATTGTGACTCTTAACAACAGACAATTAGAGACAGAGTAACGTGAAAGTTCCTTTCATATATTTCTAAGGACAAATCACAATCCTTAATTTACATTTGTACTTTTTCTTTATCATTTCCTTTTCTTGGATTTGGAATTCATGCTACAATTGGTAAAGAAAATGGTATCCACAACTTCATCGACAATTTGAATTCATTACGACAACGACCTCAAGTTAATACGTTACATATTAATAATCTGATTATGTAATGACGATCAATATTCAAAATTGATAAATAGTCAAAGAAGAGACATATGAACACATCACATGAATATATACATCACCATTATATGATTATAATTATGTTTAATACGTTTTAATAGTAAGGTCATGCAAAGACTATCCATATTTATTACTCCCTAGTCCCTACAAATAAAAAGTCAAAAGAAACATATCCAAACACATCACATGAATATAAACATGATATCACCATTACAATTGTCCTTGACAACTTATTCTAAAACTTTGGTGGCACATTCTTTTAACAAGTTCATTTTACCTATTTTCTCTTTATTTTTTGTTCCTCGTTTAATTTTGTAACATGATACTTTAAGGTTGTTAATATAATGTTTATCCAAACTTTTATTACTGTCAACATTATAGTTAAACTTGCTTTCAACACTTATTATTATTTATATCAAGTAGTGAGAGATTATTCAAGGGAACCTCTTCATCTGAACACCTCTATCTTGATTTTTAGCAAGTAGTACCAAGTTATGCTTCATGATTTGCTTAATACTAATTACAATTATATCACACGTATTAATTATTATTAGTCATCTAAAAGTTTTCAGTTTTCTTTGGTGCCTAATTTATTCATGTAGAAATTAGAGATGTGTGGTATAGACTCCAATTTTAAGCTTCATTTCTTTTCAATTGTCTGCATTAATATAATGCTAAAGTTTCTAAATGAACTTGTAAATCTCAAAATTAGTTATACAGATGCTAAAACTTTGATAAGTATCGAATTATTGTGCCTAATCCAAAATATTTCCACATTTCGATAGATTTCAATATTACGATGTTTGATATGTATTTTTAAAAAGAAGGTATTTGTGAGGATAGTCTCTATTTTATTTTTAAAAAAAATACTAAATATCGTAACAAAATACCTAATTATGTATACAAATATATATATATATATATATTATTTTTTATTTTGTTATATTGTTATATAAATAATAATGTAATTAGTCAAAATATAAACTAATAAAAGGCCTAAAATCCTTTGTATTAAAAGATTATTGCCTTTACTACTCAGTATAAACTAAATACTTGATTACACATAATCATAAACTCATAATATAGACAAATTTTATACACTAAAGTATAAAAGAGTTTCCACCATCGTCAAAATCATAATTTTTCATTATATGTGTATAAGTTAAAGTCGAACAACTCATGATTACTAACTTACCGTATCAAACAACTGAAAATCAAATTTAATATCAACCATATGAATATAATAGAGCATTTTTAAATATTTAAAACTATCAAACTCAATTGTAACCCTATATTACTTGGACTCTTTAAAAAATATCCATTAGTATGTATTGAATAGCATTCTAAAAGTAGCACGTTTTTAAAATATAATATTCACTAGCCTACCATGAAGATGGTGAGCCAAAATATGTGGGCCTAAAGGAGTTTCATTTTGGGTCTTTGGGCTTAAGATCCTTATCGAACCGGATCGGATCCGTACTGTTTGGTAGATCAAAATAGGAACCGGGGCGGAGGAAAGACGAAAGTGTGGAGTCTGTGCGTGTGTGTGGTGAGAGAGATAAAGAGATGGAGCTGTTAGGATGGTGGTTAATGCTAGTGGGTACACTTCGGCTTGCATCGGTATGGTTTGGCTTCGTCGACATTTGGGCTCTTCGTGTCGCTGTTTTCTCCAAAACTACCAGTAAGTTTACAAACCTTTTTTGCTTATATTACGCTTAGTGCTCATTTCGGCCTTTTTACATTCTCGTGATCTGAGTTGAATCTGTATTAGGAATCATATCCCTTTGCTTTCGCCTTATTTTGTGTGATTTGTCTCATAATAAAGTGCTTTTTTGGTGATTTCATGCCATTGTTAGCTATATCTTGTTTATATCGAGGATCATATATTGACAGATCAGGAATTTAAGTTAGTGTATTGGGCCGAGGGTCTTTCGGAAACAGTCACTCTAAGGTCTGGGTACACTACTCCACTTTGTGGATTTTCATGGGATATGTTGTAGTATTGGGGTTAGTTACCAGTGCAATCTTATTATTACTTCGTGGTTGTCGATTCGAGTTTAGTATAGATATAATTTGAATCAGCTACAGTAGTCATTATGAGCTCATTTACTATAGTCTTATTGGGGTTTACGATGTACCTTACACCTGTGTTTATGGGATGTAATAGTCTTGCCCGATGGATTAGACAATGTGCATGCAAACTGGAGTGGACATCACCTTCACTCCCTCTCGCGCACGCACACTATTTAGAAGGAAAAAAAATCTATTAGTGTATATATAATTCGAGCAGAGGCAGTTTGGATACATGAGTTGAAACTTTGGATTTGTCCCTAGACTAGATGCTTTTCATTTTGATTAGGAAAATGAATAAGGGACTATGTACTGTTGAATTGATTTGCTACACCATAGGGTTGAAATGGCGATAAGAATGAGTAAACGGATCAACACATTCATTTGGGCTCAAGACTTGTCTTTTGACTTCATTTCCTTGACATGATTTTATAGGCAATAGGACGATAGAGTTTTCCCAAAAAGAAGCTAATTTTTTCTTAAAACTGAATAAGAATAAGAATCATTTCTTAAAACCTTATTCGGATATGTATAAGCACAATTAGTTAAGAGAAGTGATTGTCATAAACTTCTGTAGCTTGGCCTTAGCTCTTAATTTTAGAAGAAAATATATTATTCTCTTGCAGTGTTAAGATGTCCCACATCGGTAGAGGGATGGGACTTTTGGTCTCCTTATATGGACTTGGACAAACCTCCCCTTAGGAGCTAGCTTTTGGGGTTGAGTTAGGCCCAGGTGCCATATCTTTACATGCAGTATTTTGTAGCACTTCTGTCATGCCTCACTTCATTCTTACCTTCTTATTCTGTTTGTTTATAAAAAGGTAAAATTGCTCCCCTCGGCCAGAATTTGGTAATTCACAAATGGGCATATCACCTCCAAACTCTCCACATAGTTCTATCCTTTCTCCTACAATTGCATCACAAAGACTTCGTAAAAAAGTTCTCTTTTAAGTTTGTGAAAGATACATAGTATGTCATCTCATTTGGGTTATGTTGTGTTATTCTTCAATCTAGCTGGAGAATGGAGTTGATAGAATCTGAGAGTTTGTTCGTCTTGTTTGATTGCTGCAATACTGCTTGTTTGACCCCAATGCACCTATAATAGTATGCTTTATCATCCAGTAAGAGTGACATATATATTTCTCGTCTGGCTTGGGTCAAGTGGCTCAAAATGTGGACAACAATGTGTGAATTTGGTGGTTGCAACTTTCTAAGGTATAGCTTTTGTCGTGAAAATAGAACCTTAAGTTACTGGTAGTGCAGTCAGTAACATATTTGATTACACATTTGGTACTCAACTTCTTGAATAACTTTCAAGAACAGCAACTTTGTAAGAACATATCTGTCATGCATCTTAAGTTTGACAAGTGATGATCTTTGTATTGCTTGGTATCACTGGTTTTACTTGCAATTGCATTGAAATTACCACACGTTACTTGACACAGTCTTATACTATCTTTCTAATGGGAACTTCTTCTTTTTTTATTTATCATGTTGCAGTGACAGAAGTTCATGGGAGGACATTTGGAGTGTGGACTCTGCTAACCTGCACTCTTTGCTATCTTTGTGCATTTAACCTTCATGACAGACCTTTGTACTTGGCAACCATTTTATCATTTGTCTATGCCTTCGGTCATTTCTTGACAGAGTTCTTGATCTATCAGACAATGGCAATAAAAAATCTGGTTACTGTCGGTATATTTGCAGGTATTGTTCCTTCTCGAGTTTTTTAATTATAATTAGCTCTACTAGATCTTGCAATTGTTTTCGGTGTTTCCCCTCCATCCCTGGGTTTGGTCTGCTTTTAAAACAGTGCAAGTAAAGATGGATTTAGGCATCTAGTGCTTTCAAAAGGCAAGAACTGCTTTCAAATGATATAATCTGTGACTCGACCTTTATTCACCTAGTACCATGTGCTGTAAAGTTTCTGTTAAGCGTCTTCTAATATGGACTGGCTTCATTTAGTTGTAGCATGTCACTGAATGTGCAACTTAATCATTTGAAGACCCTGCTTGTGCTCCTAACTTTTCTGAAAAATCTTTATCAAACTTCCCCGTATTTCTTCCCTTTGAACTTTTTGATTGCGCTAATTGAACTCTTGCAACTTGCTCTTCTTATGAATCAAAGCCTATCTTTTGAGTGCAGTGCTGGTTGCTTAAGCCCAATTTACTAAGATGTTAGTTACTTAATGAAAAAGGAGATGACGAAGCAAATCTTTAAGATGGTTCTAATAAAAAGGTTGAAATTTTTATCAACTTCTGAACATCTTTACCTATGTTTGTGGTTTAACTATAAAAGGAAGTTCCAATGATCTGGAGGTAACGAGCCACATTAGTGACATTATCTTCCTGCATCAGCACATGCTTTTCTTTCTTTGCAGTAAATTGAGTTCACTCCTGATCACAATTCACACACCACTTTAGACTGTCTAAAGAGTTCCATTTTCTCTCTCGCAGGCACATCTATAGTTTGGATGTTGTTGCAGTGGAATGCACACCAACAGGTCAAAACTAAGAGTCCATAGAACCGAATCAACAGCAGTGGCTTTTATCGGATGTTACTCCTCTCAACCTATGCCTTTGCTGCTGCAATTTAAGGCCTTCGAGTTTTTGTTGTGGAAACATGCTTTCATGGTTGAGCTCTGAAAGAAACTTCTTGGCCACAATTTCTTAATGTAATGTTCTTCTGAATGGCTTTTGTAAAGGATTATCTATCTTTCAAACTTTTTTATTGGAATTTTTAGACTACTTTCTCAAACTTGGAACGACCCAAGTTTTTGTCTTCTACTAGTATTATTTTATGCTCGGTGGATCCCTCATTTCTGTGTTACTTTTTCTTTTTAGTTGACACTTGGTATCAATTTTGATTTTGTGCTAATTTGGCCATAGAATAATTGAAGCAATTGAGTTTGATTGGTAGTAGCCAATTTCTTTCATCAACAAAATCTCAAACTGAAATGAGTCATATTTTAGAGTGCAGAAAGCTTAATTTTGTGTTGAAATACACACAAATAAATAGCAATTGTCTGTCTAAATCATAGTAACACTACTACTCATTAGCATGAACTTAGAACACTCCTCTACTACATCTTCATCAGTTAGAATTTTGGCTTTTCCCAAAATTACAATACTAAACAAGGGCAATTCAACACTCTAATTCATAATTATTTATCTATTACTATATAAAAAAATTTCCCCTCAAACTGCATCTATACTTGATGCATCTTTGTCATCTTCATCAATTATATCTTCCAATTGTTCATGGTCTCCAACTCCATCACCCTCATCATCTCCATCATTCTCATCTTTTTTCCCTTCATCTAATTCTTCCAATTCAAGATCTTCATCTGGGTTTTTTTGAAACTCAGCAGCTAACTCATCTAACAGCAAGGGATTCAGATCTTTCCTCCCTAACTTCACAGCTTTTTGCAAATCTTGTTCCTTCAATGATTTTTCACCCAAATTTGTCTTGCTGTATGACTGTTTTACTTGGTAAATCAACCACAAACATATCAAAAACATTGCAAATCCTTGGAAAACATGCTTTAATTTGAACCCTTTTGTCCTCATATTCCTACTTGATGATTGCTTCAACATGTTTAGTATATTCACAATATTGCTATTTCTTCATGTTTTAACTACTTGGAGTTAAAATACAATCTGTGTGAAAAATCAGATATTAAAAAACAATAGATCTTATAATAAAATAGTGTTATTAAAAAAATATGAAACTTACCAGTAGAGTACAGAAGATGAGGTGTGAGAAGAAAAGGGAGTGTGAGGCTCCCACTTTATGTGTTAAAAATAGGTACATCTGTGTTGGTTATTTAAAGTTATTTGGATGCGTCGGTAGAAGGAATTTAATGAAGGGTCCAACACTGGAGTCAAAAACATTAATTCACATATAATAACTATAGTTTATATTTTTTTGAATAACATAATTAGTTAAAAGAGTTGTATTAAATAGGCATTAGAGAAAATTTGTATTCAGGCAATTGATATTAATTATATCTTGTATTCAGGCAAAGAATATTAATTATATCAATGCATAGTTATTATAGATGAAAACGCGTGACAAAATATGAATTAATGTATATTATGTTTTTATTATAAAACTCAAAATGTAATTATGATAGATAAGGTTTTAAGTTAAACCCTTCAAAGCAATAATAAGTAGAGCACCTCAAAATGCGACTATTAAGAGTATGAGCTAGTGATTAATGACGTGATTGAAAATTAAAATCTTAGTGAAAATAGAAAATACTAGAAGTTTTTTTTAAAAAAAAAATCTAAATCTTTGTTGGTAAATTTATATAAAACCTATGTTAGAGATGAATTTTAGGTATCCGATGAAATTATTGAAGTGTATATAACCTAATTCGATCCAAATATCGCCATCACACGAATGGCATAAATCTTTATGAACTCTTTTAGTAGCTCATGCACAACCAATATGAGATATCATTTAGATTTTGACGATTATTAGGGATCGTTAGGAAGAAGGTTAACAAAAATAATACTACATGAATTAATTTATATATCCTATCAAACATGGATAAGAAATAATATTAGTATAACTAATCCTAATATAATTAATCTCCCCATTCCTAATATATCATATTCAATACTATCTTATATATCATACCAAACAATCAGAAGTGAAGACTCCGCGTTAGTTATATATTTGATCGATCACAATAACTTTGATTTAAACATACATAAGATAAAGGGAGCAGGTGGGCTCTGGCCTCTTAGATGGGGGCTTTTTCTTTTCATAAAGTGTAAATTATTGGTCTGAGTTAACTCCATGTGAAATTATGAACTGGATCACCTGTCACACTGCCAATTCCCCCAAAATATGTGTACTCCTTTTCTTTTCTCTCTTGTTTTTTTTTTGTTTACGTATTTCTAAGCTTCAAATTTACTCAAATATGAATATTTAGCCCTTGTGTATATAAAAAAAAAAGCCTAGTATTATCAAAAACATGGAGTACTAACTAGTAAAAAAAAAAAAAAAAATGAAAAAGGTAAATGTCATATCATAAGAATATGCGCTCATGTGTAGAATTTGAAACTCTACGATGATAGTAATAATAATAATAATAATTAATGACTATTTTTTAATTATAAGAATCGAAAGTAATTATTTGTAATTTTATGCGCCACGTAATATCATACGTGGGCTCAAGCGTTTTTGTTTTATGGGCTTTTGTATGATGAGATACAGTTGTTTCACATCAGGTTAGAAAAGGCCCACAAAGTTCATAGACAAGCAAAATCGAGTCTTTATTTACTTTTTTATGCATGTATTTGTGATAAGTAAAATATTAATTTTACTCTTATAGAAAATCAGTTTGATTAATACTCAAAACGAAGTCGAAATATATTATTAAGTTTTAAGTTTATGAATAAAAAATATTTAGAAAATTTATAAATTGCAAATTCACACATAAAATTAGTGAAAGAAATAGACTTAATAGTACGATCAAAAGTTAATGCTTGTTCATAATATTTGAATAATTTTTCGAGATTTTGATTTGAAATCTCAAATGCCCCTAAAAGGTAGGATTTTCAATTTTTATGAAACAATACTAAAACTCAAGCCATTAATTTATACAAAAAGATTTATGAGATTCACATATTTTTATAAGAATAAATATACACTAACTTTTGAGACTCAAATTACAAGTCCAAAAAAATTGTAACTTCAAATCACCTTATTAGATTAGTCGATTTCTTAATTTTCCTTTCCCTAACCCTCTATTTATTTTTTTAATTTTAAAGAAAAAAAAAACACTAATTAACCTATATTTACACTCAGAAAAAGTAGTAACGATGTTACACACTCACACGAGTGTGGGCAGAAAGACACATGCAAAACAACACAATAAACGAGGGAGTGTCATACGTACTATACAATTTATACATTCGAGGTATAACCAGGCCCAAGTAAAAACTGAGATACGTGAATTCATAATTTCTTCGTAAAATTAAGTATTTTATGTAACTACATATTCTAAATAATCTATTTGATTGACGATAGAATTACTAATCCAGCAAACTTAGAGATCAAGTCCTTTTTTTCTTTTTACAATATATTCATATTCTGAAAATTCTAGATTCGTGGAGAACCACCTTCTCTATTTCCCTTTTGGTAACACATAAAATCTTGTAAGATACGAAAACATGAGCAGGTCCCCCTCCCTTTTCTCTAGCTGCTGTTGTGCAGTGCACACTGCCCACTGACATGCCGCCCCACTCTTACTTTCCTTCTTTCAAATTACTCCTCATTTTCAATTTATTTCACTTTTTTTAAAAAAATAAAAATATATTTCCTTTTTAAAAAATGCTTATAATAACTTTCTAAGTTTAAGATCAATAGCGACATTTAATGTATTTTTTAAAATACGAAATTCATATGAAAATCAGACAAATAAATTAAAACGAAAAAAAGTAAAACCAATCTCCTCTCACTAATCACTATCATCACATTCACGTCACACCTACTAGCTATGTATCCTTTCACAGAATGCGATGAACAATAATCCAAACTGCTCCCTCTGTTACACACATTGAGGAGTCGTTTTGGTTGATAATGCTATTTAATTGGCGATAATATAACTACATATATAAAGTTTATTCAATATAAATAGAATATGAAGTAAAATAAGTTGAGCCAAAATACAAAATAGAATATAAAATAAAAGTTTTCAAGTCAAAATTTGTGTAATTTATACTAGATAAAAATGAAATAATCAAAATATGGTAGCCATGCATATTCATTAAACCATGTTTTAAACACAAAAAATAGCGTCTAAGAATAATGAATGATTATTTGACACTCCCTTTATTATTAATCAAACAAACCAAAATTAGCAAATCCAAAAAATTTTATCTCTTGTAATTAGCTCAATTCACTTCTTAAATTAGAAGTGTTCTTTTCATAAGAGAAAAAAAAAAAAAAAAAGAGGAAAGGATGGTACTACAAAAGTGTTAATTAAGATGTATACAAAATATGCATTATCACAAATCTTGATTAATGCAAAAACCTTCAAAACATAGCTATAAGCTAAGCTAAGGTAATCAAACTTAATATTCATGTATATAGACAATTGAAGAAACTTATTTTCTCCATAACCAAAAAAAAAAAGATCCTTCCATCTTTAATCAAGGATTAAAGAAAAAATTCCCACACTTACATTTCCAACACATAGGCTTATAATTTGATATATCATCACCTCTTGAATATGCCAAGAACAAATTAGGAAATGCATTCAATTGATGATGAATTCTTGATGTTTGTTGATTCTTGAGATTTGGCACAATTGGTACTTGAACTGCTTCACATGGTCCACAATTTCTACATTTTCCTTCACATCTTGGTGGTCTTGAACCTATTAAAGATCTCATCTTTATCATCTTCTCTTCACTTTTCCTCTGTTTTTTTTTTCAAACACAAAACAAATTCTCAATATTTTTTCTTATTGAATTTGAAAGAAAAAAAATTCAAGATTCAAGAACCCTACCTGAGTAAAAACACCAGTTTGTGTTTTGAGTATTCTCCTACCTGCAAAAGATTGAAACTTTTCATTAAAAATTCAATCTTTTTTCAAGATTTTATAACTTTAGACAAAATCTTGAAAAGACCCTTTTTACCTTCAGCTGTTAATCTAACATGTGTCAACCCAGAAATGAATAAAAGTAACAAAAAGATTATAGTCTGTAGATTTCTATGCCAAAAGACTATAAATTGAGAACATGCCATTGGATTATTTTTCTTCTTCTTACAAGAAAGTGCAAAAAAACAGAGGAGATTTTGGAAAGTTTAATCAAGAATTGAATGAAAACACATTGTTTGTAGATGAAGAAAGAAAAGAAGTAGAGGTAAATTTCTGAAAAGGGAATGACTCTTTTTCAGTAGCTACTCAGAAATCCCAAGAAAATAGAGAGGTAAAAACAAATATACTAATAGAGTTATTTAATAGAACAAATATGGATTTTGAAAAATGAAGTGAGAAGTCACAAATTAAAAAAAGAGGGGAGGGCTTTTTGGCATAAAGAGAAAGTGAATTCACTGGTGTAGTTTATGGTCTTTCATTTTCTTTCATTTGTCACTCACTTTGTCCCCTTCTTAATTTGTAAAATATCACACACATACCAACCCTATATTGCTACTGTTTTGGTTAGTTTGGTTTTTGAGCAATTCAACTTTAACACGCTATGTATTGTAATTTTTTTCGTCCGATTTTGACTTGACACGATTATTTTTTAATACTTAACTTTTACCTTTTTTAAAGTAATTAATTGAGGATATAATAGGTAAAATTTTTTATCTTTTCTTGATTTATCAAAATGAATAAGTAATTATGTACAACTAAAAAATGAAAAGTAGATAAATAATTAGAAATAAAAAATACCAGTGATGGTAAACGTTTGATCTTAACACGGTGTCTTTACCGACTTTTGATAGAGTGTGGAGATGAAGTAAGTAAATTTAATTTCCAAGAAAGATTAGGACATATTTTTAGGAAAGTAGGTGTGTATAGGGGGGTGGTTTTAGAGTGTGCAGGTGCCCTGATTATGATGAGAAGGGTTATCTCCAAATCCACGCAAAAACAGTTGTACCATACTTGGTCATATGATATCACACGATCAATCATAATTTGCCAAGTCAAATTCAATAAAATAATTGGAATATTTTCATTTCATGGATACGAATGATACAGTGTAATTTTATAAGTAGAGTTTCGAAAGAATAGGTATATATAACTTTGTCTTTATTTTGAAAAGATAAAGAGGTTATCGATAAATTTTCTATTCAAATAAAATATATATTCAAGTATATTAAAGAAAAACATTACTGATGATGATTGACATTGACATAGAATGTGAAGCTTACTACACTGTTTTGCCAATTGCATTTTTCCTATGCAAAAATGAGAATGACCACATTGTATCGTTAAAATTCATTGTTATATACTTGATCGATCTTCTTGCTTTAACAACTTTCTTCTCTTCGAGACCTTTCTTTTATGTGAAAACTTATCTATATAGAGTGTCTACATCAGTCATCAAATCAATCGATGCATAATAAAATGTATTTTGCACAACACTTCTTTCACTAAAAACATGGTTAATTATTGCAGATTTTCACCTCATTAAATCACTAATACAATTTGATACATAAACACCTGTTGCATATTTTACTTTTCTTCTTCTTCCACATAGTAGACAAATATTGTATAATTGTTTGATTTTTGCTTAGTTTGCTAACGAACCTTTAGGTAAATCATGTTTAACTCAATTTTTCAAACTTAAATTGAAAGAAATCTCCTTAACTAGGACATAAAATCATTAAAATCATATTTTCTAGGTAGTAGACATTGCACTTTTTATTATTGGCAATAAACATTAGCAGTAAGAATAATAAGTGGGAAATCTTGGAAACCTCAAACTATTATTTGATCAAAAGATTATGTAAGGCAAATATATATTTGACCAAATGAACAAGGCAATTCAGTTTTCAAAGGTATAATAATGGAGGTGACAGATGTAAGTAATCATTTTTTGACAATACAAAAACTACTGTTTTGGCGGTTTGGTGATGCGATATAAAATCATGAATTTATAATATTAAGTTGAAGTTTTGTTTAGATATATAATTTAGTGTGAAAAATAATTAAATAATATATATATAAAATTTAAATTTTTTATGTTATATGTTTTCTCATAAACATAAAAATCTATAAGCTGTAAAACTATTAAAATTATTCCTATTCTTATACAATTGTACTAAATAAACAAAAGTTTTTAAAATCGCATATTACACTATCACAAAACTATTCTTAAAAAATACAATATTTATTGATCAAACTTTAATTTAATGAAAAATAAAATTGAATATAAATTGTTGTGATCAGTCTTTACTATAATCTCCCCACATAGTATAGACAATTTTTTCACATTGAATTTACATTTCTTGATCATCTGACCGAGAAGACAAACCAACGTTGTTACTTTTAGTCATTTGTTGGTCAATTTGGTTGGTAAATAAATTTGATCAAAATAATAAAATTGGTGAATATAAATGGTAAAATAGGAATTGATTTGAAGTAATAATAAATTTTATGTTGGTGAGAATAATCGTTATATGAAATATAAATCATTTAAAAAGTAATGATATGAACCATAAATTTAATTTACATATGTAATAAATGTGGGTTAATTTTATTTACGTATGTAATAAATGGTTAGCAGATACAAATGTGGGGTTGATTTTATGAAATATAAACTTGTGGGTTAATTGTTGTATTTGAAAAATCCCAAGTCATGATTTTAAATTCTCAAAATAATAAAATTAGTAAATATAAATGGTAAATAGGAATTGATTTGAAGTAATAATAAATTTTATGTTGGTGAGAATAATCGTTATATGAGATATAAATAATTTAAAAAGCAATGATATGAATTATAAATTTTATTTGCATATGTAATAAATGTGGGTTAATTTTATTTACATGTGTAATAAATGGTTAGTAGATACAAATGTGGGTTGATTTTACAAAATATAAACTTATGGGTTAATTGTTGTATTTGAAAAATCCCAAGTCATGATTTTAAATTCCTAAATCATAATTTAAAAATGAGTAACTTTCACTATAGCAAACATAAAAATCATATTTGTATGTTATAGACATATAACTATAGTTTGCATAATTGCGCTCCATAGCAAACATCCATAGCAAATTTTATGTTTGCTATGGAGCTTTTGATTTGTATAATTCGCTAGATACATCCAATTTTATACAAATTATTTAGTTTTGTATAAATTCATTTATACATTGTAATTTGTATAATAAGATATGTATTTATATAATTTTAAGTGTATAAGACGAAAATATATGTATTTGTATTTTTATATACATTTTTCTCTCGTTTTATACAAACACAAACGCATTTTATACATTTGTATACCGAATAGGTAATTGTATACCGAAAATGACTAATTGTATACCGAATCGGATGACAAGAAAGGAAATGTTTGTTGCGAATTACAAATAAAATAAATTATAGCTATAATATTTAATTTGAATTAATAATTTGTTATTTCATAAAATTTTCCCAAAATTTACAATCGCATATCGAAATGCTTACTTAAAATATTGTACGATGAACAGTGGACTTAACTATGAGCACGCAAAAAGTTTGCCTTCCTAGGCTGGAATAATAGCTGTAAAGTTATATATATGGTTATGGTACATTTGTTTTTCTGCTTTCTATTACCCAATTAAGAACTTTTTTAATTTCACAAAAAAAAAAAACTCACAAATTAAAACATGGGCTTCACCCATATTTTGCAAAATTAATAAGTAACTGAGTTTGTTAGTAAAAAGTCACAATTATTGTTTTGGCAGGAGGAATTGTAAGAAACCAGCAGTAACTTATTACTCCTTCGTTTCAATTTAATTGTTTCACCTTCTTTTTTAGACCGTCTCTTTAATTTTAATTTTTCACAGAATATGTTTAATGTATTTTAAATTTAAAATCATAAGATTCAAAAATTATCTTTACTTTCTCAAATTTTGTGTTAAATCAAAATTAAACAAATAAATTGAAACGCATGCCCTAATAAATCTTGAAAATGAGGTTGAAAAAATAAATAGAGCTGCTAATTTGAATAGTACATGATGCATTAAGGGCAGTAGTCAGACAGTAGGGACCAAATCTTACCTGAACCTGAGATTGGGTTACCTGCTTTTTTATCTGTTTTTTTTTATTTTAAAGATACTGTAGGACTTGGCCAAACTGGACTTGCATTAACGTACACATCAATTGCAGGACTTTTTTTTCATTCTATATATGTTTTGTTTTTTCTTTTTCAAATTAAGGTATGGGATTGCAAGTGGTAGCTCTGTAAAAATAAGGAGATAGAACAAAATAATAGTAGTATTTATTTTTTCCTTTCGACAAATCGAACTAGAAAAGGACTAAATCTCAGTTGATCAAGTTAATTGTTTGTTTTAGGGGTGTATATGACCGGATTGGTTCGGATTTTTCAAATATCAAACCAAACCATTTGTGTAAATTTTTTTATTTATAAACCAAACCAAACTAATAAAAGTCGAATTTTTTCAACCTCAGGTTGGTTCGGGTTTTTCAAATACCAAACCAAATCATTGTGTCGAATTTTTAAATTTATAAATCAAACCAAACTAATAAACCTTGGAATTTTTTTTCCTGATTTTTGTTATCCGTAAAGTTTGCATACAAACATATAATTAACTTGTGCTCCAAATATTTCTTTAGTCCAACCAAAATACAATTATCTAAGGTGTTTCTTAAGAAAATAACACAAAATATGAGATGAGTACTGATATGACACAAAAATATTCAATAAAAAATAATAATGAAATCATCATATAAAATAAATATTGCAAAGTCATAATGAAAATGATCATAATTTAAAAGTACTAAATCATGCTAAAATAAGTTTAATAAGTATTAGTTGCATTACTAAATATTTAAGGAAAATTAAAATTAGATTATGTATTTTAATTGTCTAAACCAATGTAAAACTAAAGAACAAATATTCAATATTATTGTCATTCTTAGTGTTGAATTGATTTTCTTTTTGCATTAGTATTAATTTGATTTTGATTTAAGTTTTAGTATAATTATCAACATCTATGAACTATAATATTTATTGGACCATTCCGAATTCTAAGTTTTAAACTTGAAATAATATATTAAAAGATAAAAACTATGAAATAGTATAAGAAATATTTTAAAATTATATCAAAGTAAATATTTTTATGTATAAAATAAAATTTTATTACATATATAATGCCGGGTTGGTTTGGTCTCGAGTTGTTTTTTTTAGTTAAAACTAAACCAACCCAAATATAGTCGGGTTTTTTTTTCTAATACCAAACTAAGTCAAACCAAACCGGTAGTCGATTTTTTTTTCGGTTTGACTCAATTTGCGGTTTGGTTCGGTTTTGCACACCCCCAGTTTGTTTTATTTAACATGGGCATGTAACAGTCTACACGTTAAAATGCTATACTCGTAGGTTGAATGGGAGTAGAAAAGGACTAAATCTCAGTGGATCGAGTTAATCGTTTGTTT